CTAACAAACTAGACAAAAAAAGTCCACAGAAAAGACTTATATGAAGGAAGAACCAAAGGATTCTCCTCACCCAGAGGAGCTTGGTAACCATCTAAGAGAGGCATCTGTGAGAAGAGGAAATCTGCAATATGGAACTCTTAAAGGAAGTTTCCAGTTTGGAAAACGGAGAACAAAAGTATTTGTATTGGCCTCCCATATACTCTTTGGGTGACAGCAGAGCAGCCATTGCCTTAATTCTATTTGTGATCAAAGAGAAATGTAATAATGGTTTCTCTGTTCTAATTACAAAGAAGGTCCTCAGAGTTGGGCTAGGCAGAACAGTACAGGAAGTGCACAGAATACTAATTCAATTTCCTGCAGTTTAATGGAAAATAAGGTAACAATATTGTCTCTGCCATTTAAAGATTCACTAAAATGAAGAAAATACTAAGTCTTTAGAATGTCTTTGGAAAATTATAACCACTTCCTTTCATAATGGTCTTTGAAATTAATTTAAAAAATAAACTTAGACTCAATACTCTCCCACATTTTCTTCATGGTTTATGTTACCTTATACAGGAAAAAAAAACAGAACATTAACTACCCACAAATTTCTTTACTACATACATGAATCCCAGGCTGTACTGGCCTCCCTAACCATTACAAATAAACATCACTGGGCTACAAGACCCACCCTCAGAATCAAGTTTAAAATATTTGCATTTCTTAGCATTCATTAAGTCATGCATCTTACTGGAGTAACAAGAGACACCAGTCTTTGCATCTCACATTTCAAACAGCAAATAGTTATAGCACCTCCTCACTGGTATAGTCTCATCTTCCAAAGTCAGCCTACCATAACAGAAAGCTATGAAAATAGGGGGAAATCAGACTGTTACTGTTATTTTATTATTGTTGAGAAGGAAACAATTACATTAACGATAAGAAAATGAACACAACCATATGAAATAATACTTCAGTAAGCTGAACTATAATCTTCAATGGAGAATTCCCAGTTAATTCCAGTAGGGAAAAAATAAGATATTACAGCAGATTTCGTCAACAGAGATCTATCATAGGTTGAACAGTAGTCAACATAGGACGTCCTTTGTTTCTAGTTGTCTGAACGTCTGCAGAAGTACCTGGGAGCAAGGAAAAAGAACCAGCCTAGATGCCTGTACTGGGGGACAGTCACACAGGAACTGGAAGAGAGGAAACAGGAGCCAGTCTTGAGGATCCAGGGAGTCTTGGAACTACTTGCATAGAAAAGATGAGTGCCACTGGTGGAGGAAGAATGTCCAGGAGAGAAAGGAAACAGGCAGCAAGAAAGTGGCATAGGCAATGAGCAGGAAGAACAAAGCAAATGGGAATGGCTATAAAATGAACAGAAAGAAGCTGTTCCCTAACTCTTCTCCAGTACTGAAGCGACCACGTGTATGCTTTTCCTAGCAGAGCTTTCTTGTGTATGCAACCAGTGTCATGAAATGGGAATCTGGTTTATCAAAACATCCCTCTGTTAAGATACAGTCCCTACTGACAACTGTATAGCATTTAAGAAAAATCACTGGTAGAGCCTTTTCTTTTTATACAAATAACTGTTCTTAAAAATGGCAGATTAAATACTGTAAATATTTGTTCCTTAATGCTGTGACCTTTTGTAAAGAATGTAAACAGATATAACAAAGTGCTTGAAAATTATTATGAACTGAAAAAAATCACTTGCATTATAAAATCCTATTTCTATCTGATCTATTCAGAGAAATGTGTAGTTCTCTGAACAATGTTAACATACAATGAATTGACAGCTGCATACTGTGCAAATACCTTACAGGCAAATGGTTTCAGAGCTGAATGAAAGTCACAAAGGCTGCAGTAAACATCTCTCCTTGGTAAGCAAGTTGCATAATATACTACAACTTCCAACTCTCTCTTGAAAGTGCACATATGCAACATGAATCACTAGTTCCTGTATCTGATGTATCTGATTTAGTGCTTTAATATGTATAACTTTTTTCCTCCTTACTAAGATGAAACCTGAACCCTCACATATTGTATTGATTTTACTTTATCTAAATACAACAGCTAATATTACTATGTTGCATAATGTGTGCCTAATGTTCAGCTTAGCCTGAGGAGAGTTTGCTATAGAAATCACGCCAGTATTCATCTAACCTTCTCTGGCAGTCTCTGCTAACGATTTCTAGGAGCAACATAGTAAGAACAATGGGGGGAGAGGGGCCGGAATCAGAAAATGTTGAGTTTTAAATTTAAGATGTCTTTAAAATACTTAGTGCCAAGAATATCATGGTAGTTAAATAGTATTGTTACCTTTTTTCAACAGAGGAACTGACTTGCTATATTCTGTCATGACCCAAAAGGCATGATTGTGTGTGTGTGCTTCAGCATCAGAATTATCCACGTTAAGTTGCAGAGCATTGCACGGGAGTTTCCTGTAGCAAGAGGAGACCCCGGTGCAGGGACCAGTTTCCCGCCTTTTCTGCAGCTTCTTTTGCAGAGTGCATTGCTCGAGTTGCAAGAGGAATGCACGGTGCAAAAGAGTTCCCGCCACCGGTATGCAAATTCGTTCCCCGTGATTGGCTAGTGCTAAATTATTCACACGTGGCGGCTAGCAATTGGCCTGTTAGCCGTATAAGAGGCTTGAGCAGTTTCCGCCCAAGCCGAAGAGGACTCCACATCCATCTTGTGGGGACTCTGGGTACACGGCAGGGTAATAGAAACCCTGTGTGAGATCCAGAGGAGCGTGGCGGCCTGATCCACCGCCC